GCTGATTCACCTGGAACCGTGGTCCAGTGGATAAATCGTTGTCGTTCAAGATACTTAAAGTCAAGCTCGTCTGAGGGGGTTTAGCATTTGGATGGGTGACCTAAACATTATGCTACTCACGCTTTTGCTCATTTTTTCCGGTTTTTTTTTTTAAAATTAATAATAGAATATAGAATAATAAAACTTTCTATCTTTGAATAACCTATTCCTGTTTACCTTGGGGGAAAAAAGAAACTGCCGGCCATTTAGTAATCCGGTCAAGAATTGCAAAACACACTAAATGCCCGTCAGTTCCATTTATTTTTAAAAATCCAGCTCAATCCACAACATATAAAACAATCCAAACTTAAAGCTGGAACAAATCTTTTTATGCTTTCTATAATAGCGTTTATAGCGGTACCATTCTATTAAATTAAATATCTGACAAGTAAAAATGTCTTAGAACAAGGTGAGGGCGATCATCCACGGGGAATTGAATTTTAGAAATTACATCGACAGAAGGCGTCCCTCTGAAGGGTGTGAAGGAGTTCGTAGGAGTGAGTTTCACAAATATCACAACACTCAAAAGGACACCAAAGTAAGCTAATTTTCTTTTATTTTCTCGACATTCAGTACATCGACAAAAGGCGTTTCTCTGCCACTCAGGTCGAAGCCGCCGTTGCTAGGAGATCACGTTACAATCATGATAATTGAGTTCTGTCTGTCAAAACTAAATCTTACAAGATAATACAAATACCCGCTTGGGGGCTGTATTCGAGACTGATAGAGATACCAACCGCTTCATCGTTACGCTCTGAAAACTGAAAATTCCGTTTAAGTTTTCAGTGACCTTTCAGGTAAGAATTTGAAACTTAGTCAAAGATCGACTAATGTGTATTTTCTAGAGTCGGTAAAATAGTATTCATATATTGTTTAACCGTTTTGGTTTAAGTTTTCGTGACTATGAATGGAGATTTAGACAGTAGTAGCTAGAGCTGTTTTCTATGGCTTTTTTTTTTGACTAACCATTCTTTCTTTCTTGTACTAAACACGGGCGTTCATTGAGCATTCAATTTGATCATAGATCATAATGCCTTTACCGACTGCCATTAAACATCAGCAAGAATGTACACCGATAGATGGATTTATCCAGTTATGTAGAATGTTGCAAATTTCTGTGATAATTTCACAAAAAAWAWATATATATAAAATACTTCTATAATTTCATTTCAGTGATCGCTTTATAATTTCTAGGAGGTTAATAAAGTTACAAAGTTGATAGGCCTAAACATGTTTCTTTGACCAAAACTCCCGTTAGTCACGCTATGTTGTAGTGATAGCTAACTCGATCAACACTAGACTGGACGGATAACATCAGGTCAACTATCGAACGATCACGTCTTTACTTCCAACCCAGGCACAGAAAATAAATTGCATATTTGCGCGCACTGTTTATGCATGCGAAGGTGAGGTCACATACGTTATTCTGTTTGAGTCTGTGTAAACAAGGTAGGGATGCAGTTACAATACGATACAGTTAGAGATAATTTAACAAAAGCACTGCAAAATATCATGTTACCAGTACAATGTACAAAAATTGGACCGAGAGGAGACTGGATCGAGCAGATTTTTCCTTGCCCCCAGTCCCTGAGAATTTTCTCATGTAAAAAGTCGCGCTCTATTGATTCGATGGTACTTGTAACTAAGGTTGATAGCCCAAATCGTGTAGTATAGCAATATAGACGCTTGGGTTTTCAAGGGCTAGTGGTCACTAACAAACACGCACGTGCTGTTCCACGTGGAATGGTACAAACAAATTTTGTTCAACTTTCTGCTTTCCAGGCCATTTAGCAGTACAAAATGAAGTACAAGCTTGTACAAAATATAGATATAGAGAGAAAATAAAATTAACAAAAGCATTTTGAAAAAGCTATTCAAAAAGAGGAAAGTTCTTTCAGACCTGAAGTAAAAAGAAAATTTTTTTATGGAAGACATGGAGACGAAGACATGGATGCTGGAAAGATTTTGTTTCTGTTTTTTTCCCCCAGATTGAGCTGCGAGGTGCTGTAAGGGACCAGAGGAAAAATAGGACAATGATGCATGATATAAAATCCACATTTCTTCCGAAAATCAATCTTTGAACTTATATTTTATCATAAATTCATGCACGTGAATAGCTATTGACATTCGTAATTGTTCTTTGAATGGCTTTCGATTCAATCGTAGTCAAGTATTTGTATAGGTGTTAAAATAAGTGTTATGTTTTGTATTCAATACTCAGCCAGCGAAACAGTGATGTTATGCAAATCGCGCGCTTTATGTAAATCAGTACCTTGTAGCTCTTGCACATGGTCGCTACCTCCAGAAACAGCAGGAAATAAAGACAACTTCTCGGCTCAAAAAACACWCTTAAAGATCAGAAATACGCTTCTTTGTAGTGTCTTGTACTGAATTGAGTAAGTAGAAGTAATTAGAATACGTACTGTTTACATTTCCATTGAATTGAATCGAGACTTAACTCGTATTTTATATTTTCTCTTCGACGAAGTACAGCAAAGTTGAACTCCAATTTCGCTGCTTTAGTGAGAAAAATTTGTTCAAATCTTTCGTACAATGAGTACAAAAGTTGCCAGTTTGATTTTAAAAGTTTTGATTGTTATGTTTAAGGGTTCAACGGTAATCGTGGTGTTATCCAACTTATTTTATTATAACTAAAACGTTTTACATACGTTGCTCCCCGCCATGTGGTCACACACCGCAATCACGTGACCACCACAGGTAGCCCAAACTACATAACATTGATAACAAAAGCAGCTCATTTTTGGTGTTTTTAGAGTAGAATCCTTTCGATACTTGGCGCTTGTTTATGAGCTCAATAATTTTGGAATCTGACATCAAAGGTACAGAAACTTTTTAAAAAAATTTATACTCCAGTGTATTAAGGACTGAGCTATGAAAGCTGCTCGACAACTTTTTATTTCTTGTTTGCTTGAAATCTTGCCGTGCATATTTATTTTAAAAAACTACTTTAATACATTTTTTATTATGTGTGTACCGCCGGCAAAAGACTTTATTATGTGTTGTGGAATATCTTATTCTATTGTCTTTATTAATTTTCTGCACAGGCATTAAAAAATAGCAAAGTTTCAACGGTCTAAAAAAAAATAGCAAAGCGAAAAACCAATATAAAAAAAATATACGAAATTAGGGTTTCATTTTCTATTCATTGTTGTTGTTATAGAAGCAAAGTAGGCTCACTATTTTCTATAGTCAAGGCTACGTGTCAACAGTCTTTTTTTGAAAAAGAACAGTTCGTCGAGAATATAACCTAGTTTAGTCTTTTAGAACCCAATTTTATTCTAAGAAATACCTTTTCACAGATGAGTGAATTTTTTTCAGGTGTGTGTGGGTATTTTCATCAATATTAATAATATGTATCACTTTTATATTTGTGGTGTACCCGCGCTGATTTTATGATCGGTTGGCATGGAGACGACAGGCGTCAAAATAGCAATATATATTTTCATTCATTTGTACATTCGTTCATTCATTTATTCGCATTTATTTTTTTATTAATTCGTACATCCAAACATTCATTCATCCATTCATCTATCTGCACCTAAACGTAGTCGGGTTCGAGAAGGTCATGTCATCGAAGCTAAGACTGAAAAGGATTTTGGGTACTCCGAAATGTGTATTATATTTGCATATAGACATGTAAAAATGCACAGTAGAGCAAAGTCGGTTGACCTAGATTAACAACATGCCAAAGCCATGATGCATAAAATGTGCACAGGAAGGGAAACTGCAAT